TTCTTTTGCCATGTGATTCCGGTGTGTATTTGCAGACTTTTTTTTAGTCCCACACTCACCCCCCCCCCCCCCACACACTGATCTAACTTTGTACACAGTAACTTTCACTTTAATTCTTTGTTCAATCTGATCACTGTTTGGCATGATTATGATTATGCCTGAGCTCAAGCTGAATCCTGATACAATAACCCATGCCGCAGCTCAGACGGCACAAATGAAGACGGAAAAAAAAATGTGGGAAAACAAAGATAGTTTTGGCGAAATAATGCCTTTACTTAATGCAAAACTGATTTTTTTTCACAGCAGCACCATTTTAGCGTCTTCCTGTAAAATAATCTGGGTTTGTAGCAGCTGTAAAGATCTGAAACTTTAGCAGTTCCTGTTTCCTTTCCAAAACAAATTGTAGAAATCATTTTTTTTTATAACAGCACAGTCTGAGAGTGCGTAGAGTAACAATAGACCCATCGGGTAATCGTTTTATTGTCAGGCCACTGGATGTGTGCTTCATGTAAATGAATGATTCTTCTGCACAAAGAAGCTGGGGAATATAATCTGGGTTTGGGTGAAGTTGAGGCAACTTGTTTGGAAAATAAGTTTCTGATCAATCCCATGTACTCGCAACCAAGAAGACGCCAGAGTCCTCTTTTTTTTTTTCATGTTACTATCGGTATCCCTTCAGGAACAATAGTCAAGTGCAAACAAAGCAAAAATCTAACAGTTAATGCACTGGAAGGCTTAAGAACGTCATGCTTCCGAGCAGAGGATCACTGACGATAAACACAACAGACAAGGTGATTAGGTACCACACTGTTGACTCTGCATGTTCATTATTGCTATTTAGTTAGGTTATTTAAGCAGGTACCTGGAGGTTAAGTAAGCATCGTGGCAGGAAGAAAGGAGAGGAAGAAAAGGAAAAGAGGAAATTAAATTAACTTGTCCTCATTGGTAGTTTTTGGCAGACCTCATCCTGCTCTCGTTGACTTTGGTGGGCACAAGGTTGGCCCATGTTAGCTGAACCCTATTTTTTAAAAATAGCAGGGCTTAACCGTAATGGGCCAAATCCTGATGCCATTTCTTGGGTGAAATTCTTGCTGGCTCATCTTGTGCAATTCTGCATGATGTGAAAGGGCATGCCCAGTGATTTCAGCAGGCGTTTGGCCCATCCGCGGGTGTCAGGAGTGGTCTGGTGCCTCTCTGTGCAGTGACTTGATTTGGGGGTAACTTTTGCTCTCTCCCAGTTTTGCAGTCACATTCTGAGTTGAGCCCCTGGATCGATCGTCTAGTTGAGCTGTTTGTTTCCCTTGCACTTTCCAGACAAAGACGCAGCCCGATTCCCATTCGACACATACAATAAAATAGGGATAGAATCCTAGAACTGGAATCCAGTCCAGTCCCCTGCCCTCACGGCAGGACCAAGCACTGTCTAGACCATCCCTGACAGGTGTCTGTCCAACCTGCTCTTCAATATCTCCAGGGATGGAGATTCCACAACCTCCCCAGGCAACTTATTTCAGCGTTTAACCACCCTGACAGGCAGGAAGTTTTTCCGAATGTCCAGCCCAAACCTCCCTTGCTGCAGTTTCAGCCCATTGCTTCTTGTCCTGTCCTCAGAGGCCATGGAGAACAATTTTTCTGCCTCCCACCTTTTCAGCTTTTTTGTTGCCCAGCAGGTGCAAGCTCTCGGCACAATAATTGGTGCATGGGAATTACTGTTTGAAAAGCTCCCCTCTCCCCCGGTCTGCCTGGTGGTATAATCGACCCTCCCAGCTGAGTGACCTCCACCTTCTCTGGGTTTGCTCCACCCCCTGGGACCGTGTCAAACATTAACAAGTGCAGCCCATCTTTCAACCCCCCTGCGGCTTTCCTGCAGGCTGATTGGAAACGAAGGGCCCAATCCTGCTAGGGGCTGTGACTTCAGTGGGCATTGACTCCCGTAAGGACGGGAGGGCTGGGCTTGTGGGACCAGGCTTCTGACAAGTGCTGAATGTCAGCACTGGCAGCAGCCTTGACGAGTTTGTGAACTGATGGGAGATGGGTCCAGAGACCTGTGGGGAAGTGCCACACCTGCTGGAGTGACCGCCAGTGGAATGCTGGGAAACGGAGTATTTCACGTCTTTCTAGTTCTCCTCGCAGCAAAACCACACTGGTGCTTGCTTTGAAGGGAAACATACTACAACTGGAGCAATGCAATGGAAATGAGCCTGGATCTTATGCAAGGACAACACAGAGCAATCCCGGATATTATTTGTGGAATTGCTCAATCATGACTGGGGTGGAGAAAGGGAATAAAGAAAAGTTATTGACTTGTTCCCAGAATATAAGAACTAGGAGTCACCAAAAGAAATGAATAGGTAGCAGTTTTAAAACACACAGAAGGAAGTTTTTCTTCATGCAGCCGCACGGTCAACCTGTGGAACTCCTTGCCAGAGGAGGTTGTGGAGGCCAGGACTTTAACAGGGTTCAAAAAAGAGCTAGATAGATTCATGGAGGTTAAGTACATCAATGCTTATTAACCAGGGTGGGTAGGAATGGTGTCTCTCGCCTCTGTGTGTCAGAGGCTGGGAATGGGTGACTGGGGAGGGAATCACGGGATGTTTCCTGGTTGCATTCACTCGCTCTGGAGCACCTGGCACTGGCCACTGTGGGCAGACAGGACGCTGGGCTGGATGGACCTTTGGTCTGACCCCGCCTGGCTGCGCTTATATTCTAATGCGTGTTGTTAATATTACACACAACTGGTGCGTAAGATGCATGGCTCTGTGTAGGAAGGCTCTTAACGATGTCAATGGGAGAGATTTTTGAACGCAAACCAGTCGATCATTATCTCTTTTTATCATCTATTAAGAGGCCTCAATTTGTTACTTCTTATCGGTTTCCATATTTTCATTTTCATGTTACCTTGCACCAGAAGAGACTTTTATTTACCGCCATTATTTTATTGCTGATTTCAGGGACTTCATCATGTGTTGCTCAGTTGCATTTTCTGTACCTTTCATTTAACTGGGTCAGAAATATATGGGGGCAGTTTGTACGAAGCAAACCTGTTTCCTCTCCGAGCATCCGCGTGAGGGTCTACTAGCTGAATTGACCAGCGACATGAAGGTTCCCCGGGTATCCATGCTCTATTGCACTTGTACAAGTAAAGGTTACCGAGGAATGGGAGAGCGCTTCTGAAGGGCGTATTGACTCCTCCGGCGGGGTCCCTGGGAAAGGCGGTTCTGGATCCATGCTGTCCACCTCGCAGAATTTCCACCTGAGATTTTCTTGCGTTAACTGAATTGCATTTGTGACAAAATGAGGGAGGGCACAGGTCTCCTCACCCCCAGTCTAGTGCCCTACCCACTAGGCAACACTGCCAGGCCTGAGGAACTGTACTGCAACCCCTGTGGCTCCCAGGCTGTCCTCAGCTGGGTGGGACCCTCCGTCTCTGCTGTTCCCTCATTACCTTTCCCGGGGGAGAGTTGCTTCTCTTCCCCTAGGCGCCACAGAGCGTTGGCCCCACATGGCGGCCATGATACGACTTCTCTGGGAACCTGGGAGGGGCAGACCCTTCTGGGTGTGGGTGGTGGGGACTTAGGGGCTTTGGAAAATGTCACCCCAAGGGACGTAGGAGCCTAAATCCCTTTGGACATTCTGTAGGAGCTTTTGGAAGTGTTATCCAGCGCCCATGTGCACGTTCATTGGCTCCCCCGCAGGGAGCCGTGCGCGGGGTGCTGGCAGCAACGGGCGGGGTTGTGCCGTGTCTGGGTGACATTGTGAGACGGCGCTGACCTAGTTTAAACGTTTTCTAGGGCAAGCCAATAGCGATAGATCATCCCTTCTTGCTACCAGCTGCAGAGGCAGCGCTGCTGCTGCTCTGGGCACACTCCTTGCTGCCAAGCAGGTAGAAACCCTTCCTAAGTCCGCTCTGTGCGCTCAGCCTGGCCTCCAGTGCCAGCCCATTTCCAGCCCCCCTTTGCCCAGGTGCCCTTGGTGCGTGTGTTTCAGAGGGAGACCCTGGGTTAGAGGGGGCCTGTCGTATTCCCAGCACTTTGGCTTTGCCTGCCAGCTCCACTCAGCTTCCTGTGTCCAGGCCTCCGTGTTTTATTCTCACCCACTCCCTAGTGGGCTTCACACTCAATGAGCCTGATTTTCATCTCGTTTTTGCCTCTGTCAAGCCACCAAGCATTGTGGGGCGGGTGTGAGAATCCATCAGACCCCAAGCTTTGCAGTAGCTAGTAGGAAAAGTGTACGGGCAAGGCCACATGCTTGCTTTTGGAATTAAAAATGCATGAGGCGTGTGTGTTTAGAATAGGCCCGAAGTTGCTATCAGCCCTTTTGGCTCGTGTGTGTGTGTGTGTGTGTGTGTTGAGAATAGGCCTGAAGTTGCTATCAGCCCTTTTGGCTCGTGTGTGTGTGTGTGTGTGTGTGTGTTTAGAATAGGCCCAAAGTTGCTATCCACTCGGGTTGCCAGATGGTTTCAACAAAAATACACGACACTGATATTACATCACAATCTGCATTACATCTTATTTAGAAAACACCAGACATTTCTATTTTCTCATTTATATTTTCTCAATTTGTTTCCCGAACAGAAAGCTCAAATACTGGACTGTCTGGTTCAAAACCAGACACCTGGCAACCCTACTGTCAGCCCTTTTGGCTTGTGTGTGTGTGTGTGTGTTTAGAATAGGCCTGAAGTTGCTATCAGTCCTTTTGGCTTGTGGGTCTACATTTCATTCTGAACTAAAAGGAAATCGGTGGTTGTCTCCACGACTCAAAAAGCCTGTCCTACTTGCTGCTCTGAAGATGTGCCTGAGGTATCGGTTGAAACGAGAGAGGAGGGAAACTAACTCTAGTCAGCCTGTGTTCTCTAACTCCAAATCCCGACACCGTCTGTATGATCACGCTAGATCACGCATCTAGCCGGCAACACTAGCTCAGCATTCAGAATGTGGTGGTGCATTTTATATTCTCCAAATTCAGAGTGGTGTGGAGCTAAAACTGTGTTTTGTTTCTAGGCGATAGTGTATGAAGGCCAAGACAAGAACCCCGAAATGTGCAGAGTTCTGCTCACGCATGAAATAATGTGCAGGTAAGAAAGATCCTGTTTCCAGTTAATTAGCAAAAGAGAAGATGAATTTGTCTCTCCAAATCTAGGTTGGCCCTGGAGCTATTTTAGGACTTAAGCGTGTCTGTCCTGCCTGCAACAGCCCCAAAATAAGAGCATTCCGCTCATGTAATTAGCAGCAAAGCCTCAGCCATCAGACCCGTTTTCGATTATTTATAAAGGTTTGTCCTTCGGAGGCTGCTACTGGTTTGCATTTAGACACCTTAGCATTAATGGGCCCAGTATATGTTTCCCCGCCAAAAATAAATAAATAAATAAATTTCAGTCTTGCTCGCTGTAATTATTTATCCTCCCAACCATTGTGCCGGCACTAATCACATGACAAAGCGTGCTGTTGATGGCCCAGGTGGCTTTAATTCAGCTGGGTTCAGGCTTGAAATTTATAGCTCTCTCTTCTCCCACTTAACACAAACCTTCCTTGCAGTTTGTCTTTCCTGGGGCTTGCGCGTGTCAGTGTGGGTGAAGTTAGTGAGCGCTCTGTGCAACTGGTGATATCAAAATATCAACCGTGGGGCAGGAAATCCTCTTTTCTCCTTCGTTTCCTCGTTTGCCCCTTCGCAGCTCTGCTCTCTTTTTAGGAACTCTCTCTCCCTAACCCCAGCGTCCTTTCTGGGGCTGGCCCTTTACACTTGGCAGAGCCAAGCCTTGACTCTCCTTAACGTGGCCGTTTTGTAGCTGGTGGCTGGCTCTGGCTCTCTTCTAGCTGGTAAGAGTGCTTCCCTCCCGTTTTCTCTTTATGACCCAGGAGAACTTTTCACAGAGTCCTCCGAACATGTGAGTGACCCCAAACCTGCCATCCCGGGAGCATTCGTGGGAGTTTTGCAGGCTCAGAGGGCACAGCAGTTCTATGTTAAATGTAGCCACGCAACAAAGATGGACTTCTGCAGCGCGGCACAGGGAAGCGTGGCAGCCGCTTATGGTTCGGAGCAGTGAAAAACTCCGACTTAGTCTTTGCATGCACGGTGGCCTCCGAAGAATATTTACTAAAAAGTAGCAGTTTGGGCTCAAGCCCTGATGCCTGCATCTGGGTGAATGAGCTTTGGCTGTGGATGTGAGTGTGCCTGGGCAAATCTCCAGGCAGATTCGGCACCACCGGAGCCTACCACTTGGGTAGACATGGGTGGTGGGTGATGTAGGCAAGGGAAGGCATTGCCTTCCCCAAACTTCCTGCATTGGGGGCCTGGAGTGGCAGCTCTGCCCCTCCAGGTGGCCAGGAAGGATTGAGCTCGAGGGCTGGGATTGGCTGGGGCTTGGCTGGGGGAGGGAAGATTGTGGAAGGGGCGTGGTCATGGAGAAAGGGGTGTGGCTTTGGGCAGAAGGGGCAGGGTTTGGGCTTGCCTTCCCCAGCTGGGCCTTCTCCTGACGCTTGTATCCATAGATCCGCACTACTGTGAAGCCACCAGCTTCCCCCTTAACCCCCAGCTCTCGTGTGGTGCGGTGTTCTTCCCTTACAGCATGCATGGGAGCAAGTGGGCTAGGATCCTTGCCTGGCCCGTCTGGGGGAGAGACCCTCGGGTAGCAGGACGGCAGTGATTCTGCTGCCTCTGTGGCTCCCCCCAGTGCTAGGGAAATGATCAGTTCTGGTATGGGATGTCGGGCGCGGACCGAGGCCTGCGAGCGGCGCCGGGTGCTGCTCTGGGATTTCACTCTACTAAGAACTCCCAGCCTGTTCTTGGTTAACCAACGGCAGCAGAGTCCTGTCAGCAGCCCAAGATCCCCCCTGCCGTTTGGAGACTCAGCAATGAACTCACCTCACGGCACAGGGCCCCTGAGTGGCGCACGCATAGGTCATCTGAGAGCCGTGATAGCCAAGCAGTTCTGTGGCTGCATACCAATCAGTACAGTGGCTCCTGCTATAGCGAACTAGCCACGTTCTTCTGAAAATGTACGTAATTTGGAGAGCCAGCTAGCCACACTCAACCAGCCAAATAGCCACATGTGGCTAGTGGGTTGGCCCCCACGGTCCTAGAACAACAATGGCGGCACTGGTCCCTTGACTGAAATTAAACACCTGCTGGAGTGTTTGGAGGGTCGGTACCCATATGGGCTGATGTTACTGAATAATAGGCTGATTTCTTTTTAAATTCTGGGCTTTTTGGGCAAGGGTTGTCTGCTTTTATCCAGCCAAATAGCCACATGTGGCTAGTGGGTTGGCCCCCACGGTCCTAGAACAACAATGGCGGCACTGGTCCCTTGACTGAAATTAAACACCTGCTGGAGTGTTTGGAGGGTCGGTACCCATATGGGCTGATGTTACTGAATAATAGGCTGATTTCTTTTTAAATTCTGGGCTTTTTGGGCAAGGGTTGTCTGCTTTTATGTCTAACCCCCCCCCCCCCCCCTGCCCCCACCCCCCCCCCCAACAAAAACAAAACAACCCCCTTCCAAAAAACAACAAAACAAAACAAAAAAATGTGTAGTCTTTAAGGTGCTACAGGACTAACACTATATATACGTATAACTACGTGTGTGTGTGTGTGTGTGTGTGTGTGTGTATATTATACACACACATATATAAGACTACTCATTTTTTGAAAGTTACAGGCTAACACAGCTACTCCTCTGTGCCTATCTGTCTGTCTGTGCACCTAATTAAGGGCCTCTGGGTGGTACCACAATACAAATAATAATCATTCTGCATCAAGGACCTGACTGTCCCGCTATTGAAGACAACAGCACAGCTCCCCATAACTTCTCTTGGCGCAGAACCAAATCCCCATTCGGAACCCAGTCAAGTGCGGCTTCATTTTCTGCAGAGCCAGTGCTGGCAGAAATCTCCCTGCACACTCCTTTGAAAGCCCGTAAGAGCTCCGTGGAGCCAGAAAGCTTGTCTTTTTCCCCCATAGAAGTTACTCCAATAAAAGACACTCCCTTGCCCACCTTGTCTCTCTTTGAAAGAGTAGGAATTACAGAGACACCGATGCATTCATTTTCCTAGACATACTTTTTGTAAAAAACTTGCAGAATATACACACGGATAGATTTCACCCAAAGTCCAATGTTTATCGACATCGAAGATTTACACTCATGTCAATATACTTTGACCCAGATAAAATTTATTCCATTATTGGAATGCTGAAAAAACTGACACTCAGATGCGGTCTTTCCCTCTCTCTATGCAGTTTATATTTGTTCTTAACATTCATTGGCTCAAACTCTTTATTGCATTTGTCTGTCTTTACCATGAATTGCTTTTGTATTTTTTCTAAAACAAAAAGTATGGGGGAGAAAAAGAATTCAGACCACCGCAGGCAAATGTTGCCTGCCTGATGGGAAGAAACCAAATTCAAATTTCATATTGCAGATGTTAAAGTTTACGATTTTCCTGGCTGCCTCGAGATTTGTAAGGGGTGCTGTTTGTTTACTAGGGTGCTTGACCTTATTACACAAATCTGTCATCTATTGTGTTGCTAACACTCTTTTAAATTGCAAATGTGATGCTCTTTAGGGGACTGTGGAGGAAAAAAACCATCTCTCCACAGTGTACACCGTTCTATTTCTCTTGATTTCTTGCCTGTTGTAAGTGGAGGTGGGGATGTGTTGAATTTGCACCAGGGGTGCAAATGCAGCCTCAATTATAAGCATAAAATTAGAGTCTGTTCCCCATTAATCAGCCCAGCTAATTGCTATGCACTACCATTAGCCATATGGTGTGAAAGACAGCTTGCTCTCCCTAAGATGAAATTTCTTCATTTCAGACATGAAATAGAGAGGGCTCTGTATTTTAAAATAGCTTGTTTTCGATATTAAATTCCTAAACAACTTTCTGCAGAGCTTTCTATCAAGACTAACTGCACAATAAAACTTTGCATTGATGTGACAAAAGCTGTTTATTTATAGTGCACTAAAACTCTGGGGTAGATAAGACAAAGAATTCAAATATACAGGAAAGCCTCTTGCTAGTTGCCGAAAAGCGGGCCCGAGCTACATTTCAGGCGTTTGTAGGGATTTTGTAGCGCTTTGCGGATTACACAATAAGGCTGTCCATTGGGCTGACATGGTAACAATTGGGAAGAATTCATTGGCTCCATGGAATTGGTTCTTCGCAGAGGCAGTGAAAATAGGGACCATGTATAGTTAGACTTGCCTGACGCTTTCCTGTGTAAAACTCTGGTTTGGGTTGGTTATAACTTTGCCAAAATTAAATAACTGAGGCTGAAATGTCCTGTGCACGGTGAATGGCAACAGGTGCATTTTGGGGAACGTTGAAGTAGCATGGCTCTGCCATTTCCAAGAATGAAGGCAGGAAACATAGGCTTGTCCATGTATTAAAAAAAAAAAAATTACCGTTGCTGAGCTGAGAAACTCTCCCATGAGCGCAGAAGGTTGTCTTGGCCTCAGACTGCGGCCTTGTGCCAGCCCCATAAAAATCCCCCCTATTTGGCCAAGTTAACATCCTCTTCAAAAAACTCCATTTGCACATGCTCAGTAGAGACTTTTGGAGTTGGGCATCTCACTCCTGGGAGGATGCCGTCTGCTCTGAGCATGCTCTTGTCACTCTCAGCTCCCGGGTGGCAGCAGACTGTGCACGCTCCCACCTCCAGAGCAGAGTGGGGTGCACCCCCTGAGGGGGCATGGAGGGCAGTTCTAAGGGGGGCACGGCAGGGCCTGAGCAACACCTGGCCCCTCCCTTCCCCCAGCCCTGCCCCTGTCTGTCCCCCAGCCAGATTCCCGGCCCCACACTTGCCTGTCCCTGTTCCCAGCCTTAGCTGAAGGCCGAGGCTCCGTTCCTGGCCCAGGGATGAAGCGGGGGCAGGGATGGAGTGGAACTGCACCTGGCTGCAGCCCTCCTCAGGTCTGCTGCAGCTCTGGGCCCGGCCCCAGCTCTGTGCCCAGCCCCAGCCCTAAGCCGCCAGCCTGGGCCCCCTCACTGCTGTCCACCTCCCCAAGCTGTGGTCCTACACCCGGCTCCCGCTTGGGGCAGTGGGGGGCCGTGGGCGGGTGTGACCCTCCGGAGCATGGGG